ATCCGCCATCTTAAGCGACCTTAATTGAAACATTTTCGGGGATTTATAAAGATTCGACCTCGGTACCAACCCCTATTCCACGTTTTTACCCTTGCGTCATCGCGCCAGCCCAGCTTACGAAGGATGAAGTTGTCTAATAAATATGGGGAAAATGTTACGTTCCAGCATATCCACAAGCGCTGCCAACCCCTAGTTAAAAACCTGCCACTCTTTGGCATCGCGAAAGACGCATTTTACGGGAAAAAAAAATTTACTCGTGAACTCGTCTGCTAGAGCAGTGACGAAATAGCCGAAATTTCTGCCAAGGCAACTGCCGACGTTACGCTTTTTCCAACTTTTAACTTTCCAACTGCCAACTTTTCATCTTTTTTTCCAACTTCGAACTTTTCAATTCTCCAACTGTCAGCTTTGTAATTTTTTTCCAATTACGATAAAATCGACTACTCCGGCACCAACGCTACTGCATCTCGAAGGCGTCGAAAAGTTTTAGGTAGCATCCAAAAGTTTCGGCTGCGTTCGAGTCACTCGATCAAAACATCCTTTGACTAATAAATTCTGAACGGTCCAAGAGGGGGAGTTTGTGTAGACGAGGAGATGGCCCCTTTTTTTTACCCTCGCAAAAATTACGACAATATCTATATCTATACACAATACAAAGTTATTGATATCGACAAAATTAAGGTACAATAAAAAAAAACTCGAAAAATTCAATGAAGTACAAAGAAAATTTTTAACTGGCAAAGAGCACGAGTAACTCTTAGAACTATAACGAGACGATATGGATTTAAAGCTTTTTCAAAGAGAGGTGGGTTCGAAAAAAATCCCCCAGAAAAAGTCCCTAGAAAAAGTAAAAATTGCAGAGCTCGATTGTTAGCGTCGCTCCGTTAATCTCTGTGGAGTCATTTTACGAATTTTTTTTCTTATCCCCACCCCCATCAATGTTCACCCTGCGTTCCACCCTCTCGGCCTCCTGAGCACGCCATCCGTCTCGTGCTCTTCTCCAGGAGTAAGCACTCCCGGTAATGCGCTTCTCGGTACATTAACCTCGGACTAATACTCCTGCATCCGCAAAGTAACGTTAACCGGATGTGAGTAGAGATCTCAATGTACGTGCCGGACCATCCTCTGGAGCAAGAAGTGTAAGACGAGCCTGTGGACCATATCCGTCAAACGAAATGACCAAAAGTGGATTTTAAAAAAAAGGTCTTTCGAATTTCCCTAGAAAATCTACAAGGGATGAAATTTTTTAAGGGATGATTGCTCCAGTTCAGTTGGTACCACCGAATAGACTCAGAAACCGAACTGTACCTAATGGGCGACCTAATTCACGAGGACGACTGAGTAAGCACTTCAAGGGACAGACGCCGACGTCGCCAGGACGTCGTCGAAGGGCATCGGAAAGCTCGAAACGGATTATACACTTTCTGCTAGGGGATGAAAGTGGGATCTACGGAAGGGGTGGCTGTACCCAGCCACTCAAGGACTCTTTGCCCTCCTCACGTTGGTCCTCCTGGAGCTGAGCAGGATGCCAGGAACAATCCGTTTTCGCTTATTACCAGTAACTCCTCGAAACCCTGGCAGGGTGAAAATGCTGGGTTGGTCCGTCTCTGAGTTAAGGGATGAAGATGGTTGAGGTGGGAGGACGAGATAGAAAATTTCTTAGGGGATGAACCGGGATCAGGTAGGGAAAGTTGGTTCATCCCCTTCAGGGATAGCACCAGGCCCAGGTATTCCTAGGGGTGAGAAAACGTATAACGCAAGGGTGGTTGGCATGGGAGGCCATTGGGGCTGAACAAACGGCCGCCGATTGAGGATGCAGACCGCAGCTCAGGGGTGAACCAGAATTTCACTAGATCTGGCCGAGCCCTTTTCCGCAGTTACGAATTCTCATCCCTTATTCGAAACAATTAGAACTATGCCCCAACAATTTATAATTTCGTGCCTTCGTCGTAGAACCACCCCCCTGTGTCCACCCCACGGCAGTATAAATCTTGCGATGTATCTCCTTCTCTCTCAGTCCCACCCTCGCACCCAGACGAAACCAACCCCCCAGATGCACCACCCACAGACCCGCAGAAACATCCCTTGCTCGACTAGAACGTTTATTACTCCAACCGGCCAGATAATTTCCCTCGTTTGTTCCCTGGGGGTGGCTGAGCTTGCCGAAATTCTGAATAGGAGAAATTCCTGGTACTACCGTAATCGACGGCGCACCCTCAACCCCCTCTTAAAACCTTAAACCGAACTTTGACCTCCATCCTTGAATAACCACCCCTTGATTCTACAATCAAAATGGCATCGTACTCCATTAACGGATGAAGTCTGGCAGCTTCTACTGGTTGCATCTCCGAGGTTGCAGGTTACTTTGCACCGGCATCCCTCGAGCTGCGAGCTCGAACGGTGCCGAAGATTGCCGAGGGTGGCCGAGTGGGAAATAAAAAAAAAGTTTAGTACGATTTTAATGAGAAAAACTTGAAAATACCTAAAGGACTAAGGGTGGGTAGGATCTATAAAAAAAAAGGTAAAAAAATATCAGGGTGAATAATTATGTTAGAGATATTAAGGCCAGTGGATGTTCTCGAGTTTCAGCATTATCGAACCCTTTGACCCGGAGCCCTTTGACCTCTGACACGACTAGAGTCTATACCGTGATAGCCAGTCAGCTCTATGCGAGGTACCTTGATTTTGCTAAGGGACGATAAGGGGGGACGGGGGTAGATCGATCTTCTGATAATCTTTCTGCTTCGAGGGATTCACCGGAAATGACAGGAAGTCAAGGGATGGACTTCCGTGCGTGGACCAGCCAGATAGAAAGTTGAGAAAAAAGCATGCGAATGGGGGAAAGAATCAAAGAGGAGGACTAAGAAAGAGGGGAAGGTCGAAGGAAAAAGAAAATCTAGAAAAAAGCTGAAGAACATATCCAGGATAAAGCTGAACTGACTTTTCCAAGCAGAGCCTTGCCAAGTTCCTCTTTGATCTTAGCTACCCTTCAGGATGCTGCGATCTCCCTGTGGGGGGGTGCAGGTACATCTTTCAACAAAAATAGTCCGGCGCGGGAAAACGAAAAAGTTTGGGGATGATCCCTGGAGTGATGAGAGATGTAGAGAATGTTAGGAAGCAATGGGAGAGAGAGAGAGAGAGAGAGAGAGAAGGATAAGGGATGAAAAGAGATAGGTCCAGGGAGGCTGATATGAGATTGCAAGGTAAGAGCCAACTCGATAAAGCTAATCCGCGCAATCCAGAAATCCACGATTTTCGGACGAAGGATAAGGGATGAAAAGAGATAGGGAGTGATGAGAGATGTAGAGAATGTTAGGAAGCAATGGGAGAGAGAGAGAGAGAGAGAGAGAGAAGGATAAGGGATGAAAAGAGATAGGTCCAGGGAGGCTGATATGAGATTGCAAGGTAAGAGCCAACTCGATAAAGCTAATCCGCGCAATCCAGAAATCCACGATTTTCGGACACTATTCATCGGCCACCCTTAAAAATCCATGGGGATGATGCTGCAAAGAGTGATAACTTTACCAAGGGTTCGACCTCGACCTTCTCAAGAAGAAGAACTCTAACCTCTTTTCAACTAGAGAGTATCCACTGGACCTCAAGACTCCCACAGTGCCCTTTCACACCCTTCATCCCAAAAGGATAGTAAAGCTTAACATAAATCAGCTCAACCCTCTCAATAGCCGCCCTCTTATCCAACCCTTAGATACAGCCTCGCCAACCCCTCTGCTTTATAGTTCCATTCGAACAAATAATCACGGTTTTTTAACGTCCCAGAACCCCTCATAACTGTTCCGAGGATTCATCCCCAAGTGAATATTCTTTTTTCCAACCCCATCGCTATCATCGTCATCCCCGAAAACTTTGAAAGCATTCGCTGCGACAATGCAATTGAGCCACTGAAATTATTCAAAAAAACTGGATGAAAAAGGCAAGAAAAAAATTATCCAAACATATCCCCTATCTGATATTAATTTACAAACAAGGGTAGTTTCGCTCTAGAGACTCCAAAGGAATTGAAGATTTCGTCACGTATGTAGATTGATACTAATTAATGAACCTGAGCCTAATTCCTCAAAAGGCACCCTTGACATTAAGCCCAGCTACTGGAAAGCTCAGCATCAAACCAACCACAGTAATTCAGTAGAGCAGGAGTGTAACCAGTGAGACAACCAGATCTCTAAAGCATTGGGTATTCATACATCGAGCCATCCAAATCGTATCCCAAACTACAGCAGATCAGACAGGCACGTGAAGAATTTTCACGAGGTATCCTCGTTAAGTTAATAATTATTTATCCCGGTCAATTATTATTACACCGCTCAAAGCGCGAATTACGTTTGTTATCAGCACGTCAATTACAGTCCCGATAACCAGCACGGATTCGATCCTTTCCACGTCTCCAGAGAAATTTTCATCAGCCAATCCAATTTGCGAAACTTTTAATCGAATCCCGATCGTGACACGTTACCCCATACGCAGCCGCTAATGGCAAACTTGTCCGAGCCTAATCGATAGAAAATTTGTCAAAGTATCGATAAACCGATTTCTTCATCGCTTTATTTTGATTATCCGTATTTAAAAATCAAAAGACCACTTTTCTTCGATGAAAACTGATTTGAGCTTCATGGTAAATTGACCTCGACCATTGTACCGTGGTTGACCTCTGCTTTCCTGTACGTGATCAAGTAGATACGGACGTACGAATGCAGACAGCAAAAGGTAAAGGTGGGTATACGAAAATCGTCTGGTGGAAAAGCAGGAAGGCAACCTAGTGGATAATACGTGAGCAGGAAGTCAATTCTCTTTTCATCCCCTTTCTATTTCATCGAGACGTTTCCTTTTTTTTCACCCCCCTCCCACCCCCACCCCCGTCGCCGCAACCCCCTTCACTTTCGATTAGGTTTCCTGCATTCCCCATAAAGTACCAGTAGCGAGTGTGCGGGCGCGGGATCACCTTAGCAAGAGCGTCCCGACGCCAGGCGTCTACCATGACTTACCACCTAGAAGAAAAAGTCCGCAGGCTATCAGGGTCCTGTGATCGGAGTAGCAATTACCGATAAGCGCCGAGACGGTGCCAGCCAGTATCAAGGCCATGGCTACCACTTGAAAGGGTGCGGAAATTCTGGAAAAAAAAGAGACAAAAAATAGAAAGTATCAAATTTGAAAAATTGTGAGACAAATTTTTTTTTAATGTCAATACCCGTCCATTTTTTTGGCCCTAAAACCATAAAGATCGACGACGCTCCAAAGGGGTTGAAAAGACGCCGAGGCTTTCGTTGAGACAGTGAAGGGGTGTCAGGTAACATATCATTGCACCCCTAGCACAAGTCGGCCATTGTCTCAAAGCAGAACAGCTAAGAGAATCCTAGCCAGGACGACGTTAGACGGTTAATCAAGATTTATGAGGAGAGCCAAGAGGGGTTGATGTACCTAGCCCTGAGGATGATGGGGTGCGAGACGTCCCGAGCACCCTTAAATTCTGATTGATCTACTACGGGCAAGCTTTTCGAATTCGACCGAGCGTCCAGGGGATGGCGCGACGCCGACTCCTCCACTAAATTTATAGACCCCTTACGCAACTACAGGGTCGGCGCGACGCCTTCCACACCCCCCCCTCCCCCGCGGCCAAATAACGACGCCTTCCCAATATTCCCACCCCTTCCTTTTTTCTTTTTTTTATCGTCATATTTTTTTCCCCTCAACATCCTTACGTCGCACCATCCCCTATTTTTCACCCTGTCCTCACTTACTACCCTTTGGACGTATCAACTCCATTTTACGAACTTTCAAAGCTAATATGGAAAAGCTTTCGTCGACTGCTGATGGCGAACATTTTACGTCATTAATAACCCCTCCCCCCCCCAACCACCATCCCTTGTCTGCCATAGTAAATAACAATAAAACTTCATATCGAGTAGATAGCGACACTGGCCGCAGGCCAGAACCATGACAGCATGAGAACTACCCTTCCTATACCACAAGCTACCCCTATACTATAACGGAGTATGTATATATGTATAGTTGTGGCCGTTCGAACTAGGATTGAGTAAACGGCAGCCTTTATCGGCTGGTCTCGAAGTACCAGGTAACCAGGAAACCAGGAAACCGGGCAACCGGTATACCAATATACAAAACGGTGATGCCACATAACAGTGCCGAACCATTGAGAATTCGTGATCGTCGGCAGGACCAGCAATTTGCAAATCGGACACGTACTTGTATGGCATAGTACAATATGGTATAGTAGAGTACACACGATACGGCCCGGTGGTAAAACCATTGCCAACTGCAACAAGATAAATTGCACTAACGAGATATAGCGTCCATAGTCTAGTGATTCTTAGTGGGTACCCATGTAGTAACTTTTGGGGTCTAGTTACATCCAAGCTCCATTTTCTATCCCACTAAGAGGTTTGCTGAAAGGATAGCCAACCCTGTGGCTCGGTTGCGGTTAAGCGGGAAAAAGGAACTAGATTAAAAAAAATGGGAACCAGGCTAGACGAAAAGTACTTTGAAATACTTTCTGAGCTTTCTGGGCCGCAATAATGGATACTGATTCTAGGTTAGGTTACCTGGTCTCTGTCTATGCGAGGATGAAATAAATAAAAGTTCATAAGAGCGAGTGAGTGAGAGAAAAAAAATGATGAAATATCTAGTGACTTATTTCTTTATATTGGCAGCTCGTTAATCCTCATTTGCCTCAAGATCGGAAATCCTGATGATTAAATGATGAGACCTTAAAGTTCCTAGGGTAGGGTTATAATTGATATAACTTTTGGGGACGAAATTAAATCGAGGAAGAACCAGACGATAAAAGATAGTGGAGAGAGAGAGAGAGAGAGAGAGAGGGTATGGAAGATGGATAAGACGGAAAGAAAAAGAGAAGAAGAAAGTAATGGCGAGTGGAGTGGTGAGGGGGTGGAAGAGGGTGGAAATAAAATGGAGAATGAGGGATTCTCTCTGGCGCGATAAAAGCTTTTTAAAATTAATCTCTTGGTTTTCCAACCACGAACCCAAACCACTCGGCATTGACTACCAGGTTGTGTCATGGCGAAGCCAAGAAAATAAAAAAGAGTTTTATAAGAACGAGCAAGAATGAGAGAAATGGAAAGCTGCTGAAAAAGAATAGATATGGAATTTTTTTTATTTTAATGAAAATTAGGTAATTTTAATATAATTTTCATTTCAGGTCGTTTCACGCTTTCCTATTGTTATTATCACACGGGCTGGCCAACTCCAGTATATTACTACTGGACAGTCCTGATATTATATTGTAGCTGTAAACCTGGCAAACCTGCCCGTCCGTTAACCATACAGGCATACATAACCTCTATTTCGGCCATCTTCCTTGCTCGGTCAAAACTATTAATTTCGGTTTGGCTGGCTCGTGTTTGGCGGGTAATTCAATTTGCAGAAGGTTTCCCGGGAAATTAGTAAATAATATCGACGCCTGGCGTCTATGGCATCGGGATGCCATCACCGCAGGCGTACATTATTACCGTGAACTAGATATACCCCGAGTACAGGTCGGTTCAACCGAAATCTCACGAAAGTCCCTAGGGCTATTCGAACAGGGGTTGATTTGGCAATTTATTATTATTATTGACAGTAGTTAATACAGAACTATGAACCGTGTATATAGAATAACTTTTTTGAAAAAAATAAAAATCAGACGATCAGATAATTTAATCTATTATCATCTCCATTATATGACCCTTGTACATTTATATGGATTAAATAATTTTTTTTTTAGCATTATTCTTACGATCTTTCCGAAATGATAAATCGGCGTATAAAGCGTTTGATTTGTAAAAGAATAAAAGGGCACGCAAGGGTGCGTCTTATTAGATTAAGGAAATATTACGTTTTCATGGGCACAGTAAAAGGGGGTTTTTCTTACTGTTATCAGTGTGATTGACAAAGCCAGACAATTTGATCGACTAATTTTTACGGGCAGGACGTTGCCGTGCCATTTCCATTAAGAGGATGAAAAAAAAGATTTTTGGCAGAAAGGGCGCAGATGGAAAAGGAGAGAGAAAAAAAAGAAAAATACAAATCCAAACCAATTAGGACACAGGGTATCGTCTTCACCAACGGACGACTGTATGGGAAGGCTCAAGGAAAACGTCTCTTCCGTCCCTATATATGCTTTAGGCATATACTGTGTATATATATATATATATATAACCAGGAGGGCGTAAATTATTTTATTCCCGTTTCAATGGGCACTAATGGTTTCTGCAGGACTACGATTAATGGTGAACGACGTCGCTATGGCGTCGAATGTTTTCAAGAGAGAAAATTTTCTACCCCATCTCCAACTTCTCTTCGTCCCACCCTTCCATTTTTTTTTTTTTTTTTTTTTTTTTT